GTAAGATGCCTCGAAAACGATGGTCACTCAGAGGCCACTTGAAGTTAGGTTTATTATTATTATATCAAATGGCAGGCGCTTTGATGGTGTTCATAAACCTTTTAGTTGACTTCAGGCTTCACAGAGGGAGGGAACAGAAGAGTGTTACGAAGATGTAAAAGGGACAGACACAAAGGCAGAGAAAAGGTAAGATGAGTACTGTGAAAGCGGTCAAATATGACATACAGTGGGGTGATGGTAGTTTGAAGTCAGAAGTCAACCGCCAGGTAATAGACTTTTTTGCTGTATGAGTATACGTTGCCCAGGCTGCACCATGTGGAGGTTAGTCTATCACACACCCCGAAGTTAGGTTTATTAATAACGGTTAAATAAGGTTTGTGCGTATTGGCAGACTCGGGACTAATGGGATTCAGTCTTGTTTCAAACAGGCTCATTAATTTATGAAAATACAATTCGATTCTCGTTTAGTGTAGAAGTATGACTTCTTGATGGCAGTATTGTGACATCTTATCACCATTAGATAATCATTAAATACGGTGTAGCGCAATGATTACTGCAAATCAGCTAATATTTGACTTCTTCGTTCTTGGAAATATATGGTGCAAAGCAATGACTTTGAAAATGCATTTGCGTTTTGAATTAAAACTGTAAGATTACCGAATATTTGCTGATAGGCCGTGGTTATACCATTAATTTTGGATAAATATGAGTGATGCGAGTGATTTAATAACATTCAGTCGTAATTTCAGGTAGAACATAAGGGCAAGTGTGGTTAACGGAAATAGACTTTAAATTTCTATGGCTGTGCCACAAAGCCGATGAACATACCTCCACTCTCTAAAGTCCTTACTTTGCCATGGGTTGAGTATTTGTTACAGAGTTAGTCTATTTCATCAATTATTGCAATTATTATTAATATCAATATGAAGTGCACTATAATCTTGTCACTTTGATAGTTGATCGGGGGCATGTCAACGGTTCTTCGGAGGGTCTCTTCCCAAAAACAAAGAAGACTACTATTCCTACTAAGGTCCTTTTAGCATAACTTGGAGCGACCATTGTTACATCTTGCCTCTCTTTCTAACAAGTTTAGTTCTACAGTGTCGGTAGTATTCAGATCATAAACAGTGCTTTCGAAGTCTCACCACCTAATGTTTTATGAAGTGTAATACTTTTAATGGCAATTGCTTCAAGTATATTCTTTCTTCTCAACGATTAAGCTAATATATCCAAATCGGTATTTGCGGTTGCAGTCAAACAAATCTCTCTTACTATGTTGCTCTCGATAATTTGGAAGGCTAAACTTCACTTTATAATTGACTGAAGTATTTTTTAAACAGTGAATCTACTGATGACAAATTAAGTAGTGCAAACAATAGATCAATATTTTTTTTTATGATCATTCAAGTAATCTGCTGTTGGATGATAGTTGGTTAGAAAAAACGGAAACGGTTATTGGCTCTCAGATCATACAGCATTCTAAATACTCGCGTTGCGTATTGGACCATTAAACACATAAATTAGTCATCAGATCTGTTGGTACTGGTTATAAATTTAGTTCAAGCTGACTCACTGTAGAGTTTGAGGTTAGCCAGAGTTCATGTAAGTGCAGACCATACAATAAGTGAACATTAAAGAAGAGTGCCTTCGTATTTGTTGTTGGTAGGGAAATCCAAGTACGATCAGTGACTTTAAATTTAATTAAAAGATTATATTGAAAATTGATATTGCTCCCGTGAAATAACCAGGTATTGTGAGCTCAGTTCTTTATCACGCATAGAGATAGTGAGCACACATTTCACTACCATATTGCAAGACATAATTGATTTCTAATTTCAGATAGAATCCATTGAAAATATAATGTTAAGTTTAGGCGAGGAATTTGTCTATTTTCATACGGATTTAATTGAGCACAAATACGTATATCCTGAACCTCAAAAATCTAACAGAAAAGAAGATTTTCAAACGATACTAATTTTGGAAAATACATTTAATCAAAGACAAAGCCGCTCAAATCAATATTCAAAAATGACAAAAAATCGATAGAATGCCTGAACACTATTCAGATTCCAAGTTCGCGAGTTGGCTTAAGAAAATGAAACATAGGCCTATTCTTGTCATAATTTAGAGTGGTGTTATCGCGATAACATTTAATGTACCCTTTTGGCAGCTAGAATATAGCTAAATATGCGGTTGAATTGATAGAAGTTCACCCACATCTTGCTAACATGGCTCTTCAAAAAACAAGCACTTGGTTTTAGCTCAATTAAATCCATTCCACCCTTACAATCTCCCCCCCCCCTCAGGATCAATACATCCACGTCCAAAAAAATACCGCAATTGGAAAGCATGCACTCAGCCGCCACTGAGTCATTGTGACTGTCATATTTTGATTATCAGTAAACTACCCCTTTTAGACTACACTGCACAGCCATTTTCAGCTTAAACATATTTATAAATGGAACCCTGTTTACGTGTCTCTTGGGGTGACATGAATTAGTTTCGTTGAGGTCATATCAATCGATCAATTAATTAAAGCAGATCTGTCTGAAAATCTTCTCATCAAGTCATAACGAATTAAAAGATATCGTGTTGTTTTTAACTTAAAGTGCATTTTAAGGTTGCTAGATTTCCCTAGGCCTGCACTGATCTTGCGATGGAAATATAGTTTCTTTAAATCGGTATTAGTAGCTTTCAATTCCATGAAAATTAATGGATATCTAATAAATAGGCTAATGAAAAGCGTTGCCCAAAGGAAAATGACTTTACAACGGATAAATACCAGCAGCTAAATAATAATTTGACTCCGAAAATGAGTCCAGGCGCGATAAATACAAAGTACTTTATATTAAATAGGGTTTAAATTACTCTGTGCCAGAGTACTTGAAAATGAAAGAAGGCCTCAGCATCATGTGAAAAACAGAAATTACTAACCAACTCTCTTTTAAATACCCACTCTTTAATAGGTGAGACGTGATTGGTTCATCATTTTGATTGGCTTCTAAGCAAAGTTGTGAGGCTATATAAATGAGAAAGGGTTATAAGTTCAGCTAACCGCGGCCTTTGTGTAACAGGTAACTGTCGTGTCACCTTGCATATACTTGTATGCATTTTGTGAGCAAGCCTAAAAAGACCTCAATTTAGTGCAAAACTATAATTTTAAAGTGATGCTAATCGATACTGATGATGAAGCGACTACATTAACCATTGATGAATCTTTCCGAGATAACAATAATGAAAATAGCCACCTTGATCAAACTTGGAAAGAAAATGGGGTTGAGCCTTCAAAAGAAGTTGAAGCTTTGCACCAATCCCACCATGACTGCCAAACGGAACCATCTACTCCTCTCATTTCCAAAATCAATTCGCTACCGATAATTGAGTCCTCCAAAGAAGAAATTGAGAAACCAAGGTCACCATCAGAAACTAAAGCCAAGGAACCTATTTCTGCCATCAGACAAAAAAGGATTTACAATTGTTCTCGTAAAAGGAAACTAAAGCAGCAGTGTCGTAAAGGGGAAAAGGAAGAAGAGAGCAATTCTTCTTATCCTCCACCAGGCAGTTCATGGAATATAGACGACAAATCTCTTCCTGAGGTGAGAATTAAATATTTGTTGCTAATGTGTATTCACTCTTCTATCGCGCTAGCAATGTTGCTATGTATGAATAGCGTTCAATTTGATTCTGATTGAACTGTTCATGTCTAGTTGCCTGTGATTGGTGTAAATTCCTTTAACCAATCATTCAGTCGAAGTTCTCTCTATAAATATTTTGATATCGCCTTATGATATTAAAGTTGGATGGTCGTCTAGGGTGTTGCTTCAGGCGTTTTATTTAAATTGCACCCAGCAATAACGAGTCCTTACAATTATTACTTTGGCTTAATTCCTTTCATACACATTTGACGATGCACTGATTTCATACTTTAAATTTTATTTATTTTGCATATCTACAGAATTTTGTAATCCCAAGAAATGATTTTTTAATGCTCTGGTTGATTTCAGTTTTGACAGATTTATGGTTTTTATGATTGATTTCATTTGAGTAAAGGACTATGAGCTGGTCTCCATATTAGAGGTACTAGGGAAAGTGAAACGGTTGCGGAAAATCTGAAATTTTGGTCATGTGGCTACAAATTTCTATACAATTTGGGACCACTTTGTCCCTAAGGCCTAATTACAGGTCAGCTTTTAACGCATCTGGAGGGTTGTAGTTTCAGCCTTATATATTGATTTCTTAGTACCAAAAATTCGTGTTTATCTGTATTTCGCCAGTCCGTTCGCTTTAATTGGATGTTAGAGGAATTCGTATATTTGGAATGTAAAATCCTTAAAGATTGAATAGTCGTCTTATTTGGTATGGTTTGTATTTGTGGCCGGCGTATCTATTCTATGGACTATTTTCAGGGTACAAGAGCGCTCTACAAGCTAGTAAATTCAGGGCATTGCTGCACATTCTGCATGCGAACCAAAGCGGCATTTTGATTAAGCGTACAAGCCCAGAGTAATTTTGGTCACAACGGTATTATGATCCTATATGCTCCATTACCTCTATACTGCATAGCAATGTATAAAACAGCAATCTGAGAGGAGTGGGTTGTGGATAATTAGACCGAGTAAGTGGTCTTTCTTACCTGATTGACTGATATGCAGGGGCGTAAATGGACTCAATTCTCTTGTACAGGTGACTTCAATCTTCTGGCTCTGAAAGGGATTTGAGGTGCATTCATCAAGCTACAACTTCTCAAACCTTAAGAAGAGTGGAGTTCTGTCGCCCAACCGACTGTTCTTTATAACACTTATTGCCCATCGATCTGATTTTTGGCAAATAGTTTGTCGACGGGTTGGGCACTAATTGCAGCATTAACTACTTCAATGGTGGCGCTACGTGTCCAGTTGTAAGCGGGATAATCCGGTAATCGAAAATCAAGGAGCGAGGGGTTAGACAAGCGAATTTCAGTTGTGTACTCCGGAAGTATTCCCTTGGGCTTCTTAACACCTTTTGGCAAAATCACTACATCCTAGTTATCTGCATGTTCTCCACTTTAGTTAGCTAGTTCACTAGTCTAATTCCAATTTTCAATAGCAACCCGATTGGTGGCTCACATTAGTAGACACGGGCAATGTTGGAGGTAGTGATCAAAATTTTGATTTTCCATCATTGATTGTATCTCCGAAATTCATTTGCATTCCTCCATTTAATGCTCGTTTTCATTCCTCAATTCCGTTCACTAGAACCGAAGCAGTTAATTGGCTTTGTGCTATACGTGTAATGAAGCTCATTCCAGTCCCCTGGAACTGAACGTGCGCTTATCGGTTAACTGATCAATTTTTATTTCTTTTAGCCCCTGAGGTATGATAAGATCCAAGAGTGGGTAGACGGCGATACGAAGAAGATATTTCAGCAATACAAAACCTATATTTACGACATTTCTGGTGGTTGGGTCGTGAGGGATACCAATAGTGAGAATCCCCTCTTGACGAAAAAGGTTTGTATGGGAGTCCTGGTGTGCTCAGCGTCCTGTAACTTCACGGACACTTTTGTGGGCTATCGACCTGCCTCAACTGAAAAGGCCTTTAAAGAACAGATTGGTACATGCCACCTTTAATCCTGCACCTTACCAACTTGCCTCTTCATTATTAGTCTCAATTGGTTGCTTTTCCCTTTTTACCAGGCAGACGTTGTCCTAATCCAAAATGCAATGGCCTCCTCGTCCATGTCCCATGTGAGGGATATAATGGGACTCCGGTGATTCAATTATGGCGTTTTTATGATAAAAGATTGTATTTCCAGAACATAGGCAGGCATAATCACGCTAGACCGAAAAAGAGTGTTCCTCCTTCTCCTCCTCCTCCACCTCCTCCTCCACCACCTCCTCCTAAGCCTAAACCAACGGTAAGTTGCGCGTTATTTGTTTGCAAGGAAATACCCATTGTTACTAATATATTTGGCCTTATTTTAGCTGCTTATTCCAATGCAGCCATCGATCTATTCCTGTAAGTCCTCTCCCGAATTTTCGTGCGTTGTGGAAAACTCAACTAACTATTCTGTCTTTTCAGCCTGCCGCCCACCTCTTCCATCATTACAAATTACAATTCCGGTTAATCTAACGTCTAATAATTTTCCACCTATGAGATCGGCAAATTGTCTAAACCTATCTGGAAATGAGTTTTTTTGGAGAAATATGGCCAATTTTACTCCTGTGGATTTGTCGAATCAGCTCACATATCGAATGCAGACTGCAGGAGTGCTGGAAAGAAATAAGGCTATTGTTAGTCAACAAGCAGGGAGCAGTAGCCCACCAGTATTGGGAAACTTACAATGTCGATCACAAAATGTTTCCAGTGAAATTCCACCTAATCTACCGAATAAACCAACCGATCCATCTGGGGCTACAACAATTTCAACCGATCGGCTTGCAGGCAAAAACCTTGATGATAGAAGTAAAATGGAATTGGCTAACAGTTCTGCTGATATTTCCAACAACGCAAACAGTGCACATTCGGGATCGCTTTCCAATGAATCCACACCTCACGCACCGAGTGACAGTGTTCAATCAGCTCCCGCTAAACGACCGTTACACCCATTTATGATTGATGCAATTCTCGCCGTACCTTCTAAAAGTAAATCGCGCGAAAAATCACACCCGGATCGTTTGTAGATTTTATTTTTACAGGGAATGATTTATGAGCTGTCTTTCAATTTACTTTTTTGGTAATCTATTGCATATTTTATAACCTATTTTATAACTATCTTAAAATTGATCTTATTTTTCTGCTTTGAAGTGGCATGGCAATGAGAACTTTTAGGAAGAAAACTAGCAGTTATCTGACCTGCCAATCTTTACCAAGGCTATAAATAGAGAGAATAGTTGCAAAAGCAGCTCTTGGGAGGGTGAAGGCTGTGCAGTGTGCTAATGTGAGCGTGTGGAGTATGTGTGCTGGAGCGTAAGCTACAAAATTGGATGAAGGAAACGAACTACGTATTGATTCCAATAGGCAAAATTCGTACTCATTAAACTGGCTGGAAACGCTATAATCTGGAAATTGCATGACAACTTGTTTGACCATTGAGCGATGAGTTTCGGGAAAAATATTCTTCTACAAATTGAATGTAATCTTCCCTTAATTGCTGCCGTTTAAGCGTAGGAATCGAGGATTCTAATTATTCACTTATATTCTCAAATTTGGACGAGTACTACCATCGAAGTTTCCATTGTCATGAAGAGGTTGGAGTTTTTTTCACTTTTTATTTGACTGGATCGTGTATGCTACTTATATAAACCCGGGAGTAGTAGTGGGGGGTAATGTTGCAGTTATAATCGATTTACACCTAAAAGAGAATGCTGGGTAACGCTAACGGAAGTTAGATGGCATCCATCCATCTGATTGATGACAATAACCCAGTTAATGTCCGCATACCGATAAGAATGATGGACAACTTGGAGAGTATTTGCAAACTCCTTTAGACAAAGGGCTCTTGAAAAAAAACGCAGTTGTTTTATGGCTTGGATACCCACCGATAATTGGTCCTGGAGTTGTGTCTTTACTGTCATTAACTTCTATCTTCAACAGATAGAGGCAAAATGGACTCCTACTTTTAGCTAAATCACAATTAATCAATTTAACCGCATGCAATGCCCCACAAATGGACTTTTAGGCATACAGGACGTTTGGTCATGACTCTTTATCAAAACTGATGAACTCTCCATGAGTAAATCGGTCATTTCAGGTTAAGAATAGCCTCAATTAGCAGCTAGAGCTTATCTCTAATAACAGCGCGTGAATATCAGAGTTGGAGTTAACAGTACGGATATCAATGTAGTGAAATGACAGTTTTTCGTTTCAACACACAGAGAAAATTATGCACAATCATAAACATTTAGTTGGCGCGAAATAAATAGTCAACAACTGCTTGCCTTAAAATGAGCTGAGGTCATTATTGATTTTATTGCATTCTACCAATTTCACTCCATCTGAAGCAACTGGCTAGCAAATGTTTTTTTATATAAAAGAAAATGAGGGGAGGATACTATTATCATTTAGAAAACAATATTTCGAATTTAGAATAATGGCATTAAAGGTATAATTTTGCAATTGTATGTCGAACTAGAGAACAAGGATTTATCATTCAAACTGAGACATACTTATCTAAGTACTGCAATTAAACTTTTTGAATATGTTCATGAATACGGTATGTGGAGCACCATGCCTCAGTCATAAAGTGCCATGTTGTGTTGTCCCACATGTGATTGGTTTAGGCCTATCGCTACGTTTGTGTACTTTCCATTGCGTATTGTTTTTAACATTAATTTTTTATATGTTCGCCATTGTTGATTTTTTTGCCAGTTAATTAAGTTTCTACGCTAAATATCCACTCCTAAATTTAATGTGCTCGTTTTTACTGCATCACATTCTAAAGTGTTCAAAATTGAAATATAATAAAAATTGATATGAAATTCAATCGCGTTGATACACGCCAACCCAGGTTCACTTGCTCGTCCTAATTTTTTGCTGTCTCATCTCTTGTTCTCTTGGCTTCGTTTGACCCCAATTTCACAAGAACGACTAAGCATATATTTGCACCACGGCGTATACTTATTAAATTAGAATATGAAATGGGATTCTCAACTCAGAGGCACTGGAAGATTTCGATTATTTTTGCCAACCATCGAGCACTTCATGCTTGCTTAATTCCGTTGATTTCAGTATAGATGGTGAATACCACAGCCGTCGGAGTTGATTCCAGATTTTCTTCCACTTTTGAGTAGGAACAAAGCAGATACAAAAGAGTTGTAAGTTAAACCAAAGCACTTCAAGCAGTTGAAATTAAAACTGGCAAAGAATGAAAAGTTGTAATAACCTCCAAAGCTCATTATGAGAAAGTCATATACTATAATCTCTCCTATTGATTTAAATTAGTTTAAGTGGATGGTCGCCCCCGCAACACTAGATGTGTGCTGAGAGCTCTTAATTCGGTAATTCCTGACTTGGCAAATGAGGTGATTGACCATCAGAAAAATAAATTTCAATATCAAATTCAGTTAGCGCATCAGCAGAGCTGACTACTAACTTCAAGTAAGTAGAAGAATTTGCGTGAAATTAAATTGAGCTGCAACCTGTACCAATAAAAGAGGAGGGTGTGAGGTAGTAAAAAGATACTCCATTCTAATTTCCTTGCGGAACTTAAGGGCTTGCTCCTAGGAGAAATTATTGGGTATCCGAGTGGCTTATCGGCTTACCCAAAATCAATACATAAGGATAGTAAAGAGTGCGAAGATTTTGATAATGTTTCAAACGTCAGTTAAATAGTGTAGAGATCAATGAAAGGCCAATCAAAAACAAAGTGGAGTTTAAGCCAAGAGAAAATGAAACCAAGAAACGGAATAAATTGGCTTAACAAACAAGATTTTTAGATGTCAAAATTTCGCTGTTAATGTAAAAAATAACAATAGGAAGCGTTAACTGAGAGAGAATCATTTATTATCCTAGTTTTGTTAATTACAAATTGAATCGATATTGGCGTGCCTCACAAATTAAATTAAAAAGTTAACAAGCTGCATAAGAAGTGCGCGTGACAGAGTCTTAAATAAAATTACACTTTAATAGCATTATTTGTGAAAGTATACAAATTATTTTTTCATTCATGTTGGCTTAACTTAGACTCCCATACGTCACGTCTAGACGGCTTTCTTTTCTATAACGGTATTGTTACCTTTTAAGTACACGCCCAGACGCAACCTTATGTGCGTCCTTGTCAAACTGGATCAATATAATCACCATTTTTAATACCACCTGTATAAACATAAACAGTCACACTGGTCATTTATCCGTTCATGCTCTGTCATCTCACCTCCTCTCTCGTCTATCTTCCCCGCCCCCCCATGGCCATTCAATCTTTTGCACATCAGGAGTTGCCACAATTTACGTCAAACGGCGTGAAGTAAGTCAAGAAATTTAGGCTGAAGCCCGCACAATCTAGATATCAATCAAAATCCACATTAGGTTAGTTGAGAGTTTTTCATTCAAAACGCTTCGCGTAGATACTTCGGAACGGACAAACCTTCAATTGCGATTTGATGTAGATAACTATATTACGCTAACCAGGGTCCCCACTCAATGGAGATACTATAATCGCACCAGCTCCGATAATATATATCTAATAAAACTACTTATACATTTTACCCCAATGAATGCCTGGGTTTGTTTCATATTCAGTAGGCCGTTTGCTTAATTCATATGCATCAAACAAGCGCATTCTTTCCATTTACTGATTTTACAGGAGCTACAAAATTTTTACCATCTGACAATTTGCAGCAGAAAATACATTTGTATCGGAGATTTCCATGACAACTTTGGCTACATTCCATCAAACGTTGTGCTACCAGAAGTTGTTTGGTGGACGGAGACCAGTCGAACAAGGCTGAAGCCATGAGATAACGAACGGGATTGTTAAAAGCTAAATTCTAATTTCTTCACCAACCAGAATAGCAAAGTTTAATAAAGTTAGCCAACAATCTTTAGATTCCAATGAGTACAATGATTTTTGGAGTGAGTGATATGAAGCATGTCGTGAGTCCTCCTTTGCACTAGAAAAAAAATCAATGATGGTGAGATAGCTATGCATTCACTTGAATTATGTCTTTATGAAATTAAATAAGGCATTTTAGTGATTACTAAAATGCTTAATTAAGATTGGTTGTAGATGTAGAAGTTTCGGTTCTGTTTACCAAGTGTGATATATTCGTGTTGGGGAATATGGGGACCAAAATCTGCAATAACCTTCGAGATGTCGAAAGAATTAACGCTGACGGTGAGACGTGGGGGAGAATGGGGTGGGGTGGAGACGTGTTGCCGTTTTTGATAGATAAAATTACTGAAAGATAGGCCCCAAGAGTGCTTCAATTTCATTAACTTTGGTGGCATTGAAACATTGTCAAGAATAATAGATGTAAGCAAAAGATTCGACTTGAAATATCACCAATCACACATTCTAACTTGGTTATTAAAATATGTTTCTCCTGATTCAAAATTCTTTTTTTTGGGTTAATGTGCCTTCAATTTCCGTTTAAATCTTTTACAAGAACTATTAGAAAATTTTCATTCAAATATATTTAATGGATAAATTGAGAATTTACTGCCTATTTATTGAGCGCAAACCATAATTTATTATCATTTTACATTCCATCAGGTTAGGAGCTTGGAGAAGTTTATCTTTATTAGTGGAGAAATTGTTAATTTTAACCCTCAAAAACATAATCTTCGCAGTCAAGGCGCACTTCGATAGTCCGCTTTTAAAGACCGCGTGAACCTCATGATCACTTAGACTTGTGGGATATGTTATCGCTTTGTGCGTCATCGCATGTCAGCACGCCAGGATTGGGAGGTGCGACAGTACAACTCTGTGTACAGCCAATCAGTAGCCTCCGTTTGTTTAACCTGATCCTTCATCCTGATCACGAGATACTTACCGAATAAACGTGTTTCGTGCTGTACTTCTATTTCCTTTATAGCTGGGCTATAGCTTAGCTGATTCTGGGAGTCTAGCTATATGTTGGAGAATCTGCCATAGAGATTTCTGAGTCGGTCAGGCTTACTAAGTTAGCAATCCGCTACAGACTGTTAGGTGTGGCAAGCTTCTGATCATGTTAGGGAGCAAGTG